TCCTTTGCTACTTTGCTGTTTGTTTATCGCAGACTCGCTCTATCACTGTTTTTCAAAATAACATTGGACGACACACAATTGTCTGACTGATGGATGAGCCGAACGACTGGCATGGAATTTTTATTCAAAATGAATTATTTTAGATTATTTTATTCCTTGAAATTTACACTCTCATTCTCTTGAAGTGAATTGTGAATAGGTCAAGTTATGAGTCTTATATGCATGATGTGTTTGCTCTGTTTATTCAGTGCAGTTTAGGTGTTTTGATTTCTATCCTGTCACATAGAAATAGAAAAGTTTTTTATTTCCTTATCATAAATTGTGATGTTATTGTGTTTAATGTAAACAACTGTTCACAACTTTTGGGCAAAACTCAGACTTTACAGCTACATTTGCACAAAATATTTGTTTATAACACCTAAGCCTCACTTTGGAGAATTACTTTATTCACAGAGCAAATGATGAGAATTTTCAAAACGCTTCCATAAAATTTCAGAGGGAAACAGGTGCTGAATGGATTGAAGAAGATATTACATATGTTGTGTTTTATATTTGAATTTAACATTATATTATTTCTCCTTTTCATCTCTTTAGCATGCACCATTCTTTCTTCTGAGCATCCTGACATTGCAGTTCATTTCTGATACCCTGAGGTCAGAAACCTCAGACCAGTCTGAAACAATTTAAACGTCTCTTCTCTCCACCTCCTCTTCTTTTACTTCTTACTTCTTGTTTTTCCAAATCATGTTCTCTCTTGTGGTGCTTTAACTATCTTATTTATCCCATTTTCAGCCATTCCTACTGAGGGTGTATATGTGTATGTTGTACAATATGTGCGTATGTGTGTGGGCTGGAGTTAGTGGAGCATCTATAAGCAATTTCAGATCCTATCTTCCACTCATTGTCTGCCTTAAGGAGATCATTTTCAGGTTTGTCCTCTATCCTTCTTTTTAGTCTCACTGTCCAATCTTTTCTTCAAACTTAAAATCTACACCCACCCCAATCTACAGTGTTTTCTTCCCTTCCCATGCTATTTACTGTTTGTGCTTCTTTGATTCATTTCCCTTCAACTCTATCCCATCTGTGTTGTTTCTCCATCATTTCTCTTTGTTCTCCCTGTTTTTTCTTTTGCTGTAACTTGTTTTTCATGGTCATTTTCACTAATATCAACACTCCTCCATCCTTCCATCCTCCTACCCATATAATCACAGGGGACCAACCAGGACAAGGGGCCAGCGGCAAAGCCAGCCAATCTAATCGCTCATCTGATCAGTGGGCGCTTTTACATCACCACTGTGACGCCCAAATAAGGTCCCAGAGGAGGTCTGCACCTCTTTTATCTCTCTGTTATGGAGATAGTCTCTCTTCTCTAGTCCTTGTCCCCTCTTTCACTCCGTCTTTGTCCTAACTCTCTCACTGCTTTATCACTCTGCTCTCTCTCAGTCTCAAAGAACTCAAGGCTTTCCCGTGACATATGTACTGTGTATATGTTGTTTTGGCACTGCACAGCTTTGTAGTAATTTAAATCTATGTTCATAATCAATTAGGCACATCTAATGCATTTTAAGACAATGTTGCCATGAATCATTTTAAGCTCAATTGTGATCCTTTTTCTGCACATATGTAGTAGTGTTTCAGATAGTTTTAAGAAATATCATTTTCTTTTGTTTCATATTTTATTACTATTACTTTTTAAATTAAACTTTACAGTTTTGAAGCACATTCCTTGATGTTTGTTTTTCATTGACATATCAGGTATTTCATGACAAATTAACAACATAGCGTTCCTTGAAGGAATGCGTATCACCTGCTGCCTTTTATAAGTTTCGACCTAAAGTTAAGTTGGGATGAATATGGATTAAGTTATAGTTGTTTTGGTCAAGCCTTGTAAATTGCAATATGTGCAACCTCATGTGATAATGTGAAAACGTATAAGATGCCCTAGCATTCAGAATGTTTAAGAGAAGACTTTCAGCTACTACCACACAAAAAATATATATATATATTTTTTTTTACCGTCATAGCCATATTTGTGTTGACTACATTTAGAGGTCATCTTGTGGTTACCCAGAATTGGAGTAACCACAAAAGTAAATAAGTTGTAGATTCATGTCCAATGACCACTCCATGAGAGTTTCAATGAAATCTATCCTATGTTTCATGAGATAATTTGCTAAAAAAAATGGGGTTGATGCCAAAAGTTATTGCCAAACTTCAGGATCAGGATATAAGTTTGGAATGACTTTCAGCCACTACCACACCAAACCTTAGCTTGTTATCTGAAGAAGAAGAAAAAAAAAACCCAGTCTGAATTACAGCCATTGTTGACTTTGCTAAGATCATTTTGATTTTGGCGAGCATTTTAAATGGGGTTGACTCAACAAGTCAATAGGTTATACATACAATAAACTTTCTTTGTGTTTCAACAAAATGTATACGCTGGTCTATAAGACATTCTTCTAGAAAAACTAGACTGTATTTAATATATATATATATATATATATATATATATATATATATATATATATATATATATATATATATATATATATATAATGAAGTTAAACTGTTTTATACATTGCCTATTAGCATATAATAGAAAACAATTCAACCTATTACTAGTAAAGTGCTATGTGTTGTCATAATTGTATCATTGTATGTTTCTATACAATGACACAATTAGTTCTCTGCATTTAACCCATCACACATGAGATACACCTAGTGAAGCAGCGGACAGCTGTGTGAGCACGACATAAGTTAGGGATTAGGTGTCTTGCTCAAGGACACCCTGACATGTGGGCATGGCGGGCAGTTGTACCTGTGATTTTCTTGTTCAAGGTCCCAAGTCAGCTGCCCCACCACTGTACCACAGCAGCCCCAGATTACACTTTACTTTAAGTAAATATACTTCCATCATTTTCTTTTTTACTGATAAACTATAATGGCTGTCTAATAGATAAATACATTTAGCAAAATTACTTTTTTTTTTTGTGTGTCAACATGGATCAGTGGTGGAACAAGAAAAATATTATTACCGTCTCATAGTTGTACCAAACTGCATCTGGTATGTAAGCCTTGATTGTGTCCACTGCCTGCAGAAAATAAAAACAGAGGTTTTCATGTGTTCTGTTTGTTTTTGCCATTAAATAAATTAGTTTATATCCATGTTTTAAACCATGTTTGCCTTTGATTTCTGTTTGAAATACAGGTTCACTGCACAAGTTGTGGCAATTTAGTCTTCCAAGGCAAAATTACAGCAGATAATCTTTAATACACACACACACACACAAAAAAAAAAAAAAAAAAAAAAAAATCACATGTGGTTTCCACAGCTGTAAATCACCTCAGACCATTTAGTAAAGAAGAATAAAAATGTTCACATCTTGGAAAGCTTTTCTATAGCTGCCCATCATTTAATAAAAAGTTTTCAACAAAGCCCTTGTCACATTTCATCTGCAGTGCAATGACGCAACGGATGACAGAAAATACAGCACCAAGAGACGACTGATAGGTGACAGCGGCTGATGGCTTAAGGTGTTGGACAGACAGGGGCAATCAATAGACACGCATCCAAGCCTTTGATAGCATTGTCACTTCCCCGTGCTCTCTGATAGTGCAGAACAGAAGGCAGGAGAAAGAGATAAACACAAAGGACACAGGAAAAAAGAGCAGAAAACTACTTGTATTTTGTAAGAAGGAAAGAGAAAATGTGAAATACTTTGTGTCAAATGTGTAGGCCAAAGTTGTTTGCCAAAGGCAATGATACCAGCCATCCAGCCATTTTCTTTTTAGGAGTCTCTGACATTCTCCAATTGTATGGCCTATGTTGTAGTCCTTCAAGACTTGTTTTTATAGCAAGTAAAGAGGTTAAAGAAGTAAAAACAAAATACAAATGTATTTTATTTTGGAGGTAATGAAATATAAATTTACATTAAGTGAAGATATACAATAATGTATTCATATAATGCAAATTTATTGCATCACATTATTACTATTTTAGATATTTTTTTCTGTTTTAACTGTTTTTCAAATGCACAATTGTGAATGAGAAACTAAAGTTATAACGCTATTTAATGATATTAGTTGTAAATCACAACGGTTGAATAGTTTCTATGTTAAACATGTAATCAATATGAAAAACCTAAAGTGGCATTACGGCTTTACACCTGTGCAGTTTGTCACATACTACACGTAAGAATTATTGCAGGAATTGTGGGGGAACAGCCTGAGGAAATAATTTCCCTCTATACCTTGTTTTCTGGTATCTGATTTGCCTATCATTCACACCGCTGCCTGATAGTAAGGGCCTGCAGTGCAGTCATGGCAAAGCAGCTAATGTTAATTGAAAGGGAAAAGGCAAAAGGTCTGTATCCTCGTTTTAGGTGTCTAAAGATCAGTTAGCCATAAGGTAAGATTTGATCAAGTGTGCCAAAGATTCACACTGGCAGAATGATCAGATAGTAGCTGGGATATGCGACAGGGACAGACTGAAAGTGTGAGAGAGAGTTAAAGAGATTTGATGCAATGGAATGTGATCATAAGGGTAAGTTAGGAGCAGCTGATTAAGAGAATTCACACGGGAGCCAACGTTTGATGAAAGGTTGAGTTAAAAAGAAAAGGGAGTTATCGGCATGAGGACAGAGTGAAAGTATGATTGAAGACCAGAGAGGATGGCAGAGAGAGGGAGCATTCGAGATCCCCTTAGTTTATCACAGAGATAAAGGTTAAGGTATTGACTGATCTGAGTGATACAGAAAGAGCAACATTAGAGAAATGCAGAGACAGAGTTGGATACATAAAGTGAGACGGAAGAAAGCAAAATCCAGACACATCTGTTACAAAATGTGAACATTATGGTCCCTAACTATACATGTACACAACTGATTGCTGATGCATACACCTATTGATAGAGGTGGAAAGAGTACTCATATAAAATACTAAAGTAAAAGTGGAGTTATTCAAGTACAAATGAAGATTAAAAAGTAAAGTATAACAAGTAAGTCTTTAAAACTACTTTACAGACAATTTAGTTAGATTTTTTTTTTTTTTTTTACAGAAGGATGATGTCACCTGGATGGGTGTGACTGGGAGGAACGATCTCGCTGATCTGAACTCAAGTGGTGTTCTGTTTGTCCATCACAAACACCATGTTCAAACATAAGGGTGTCCATAAGTGCACTTAACACCAGAATCTCGGGGTTTTGTTCACGAGTGAGGGAAGAATGGAGCGTGAGATTGGCATACAGATTGGTACAGCATCTACAGTATTGCGGACTCTGTACCGGTCCATCGTGGTGAAGAGGGAGCTGAGCTGTAAGGCAAAGCTCTCTGTTTACTGGTCAGTCTATGTTCCTACCCTCCCCTATGGTTGCAAGTTCTTGGTAGTGAGGGAACGAATGAGATTGCGGATACAGCCAGTTGAAATGAGTTTCCTCCGCAGGATAGCTGGACTCTCCCTTAGAGATAGGGTGAGAAGTTCAGTTATCCAGGAGAGACTCAGAGTAGAACCACTACTCCTTCACATTGAGAGGAGCCGGTTGAGGTGGTTTGGGCATCTGTTAAGGATGTCCCCCTCGGTGCCTCCCTAGGGAGGTGCATCGGGCATGTCCGACTGGGAGGAGACCCCGGGGAAGACCCATGACATGCTGGAGAGACTATGTCTCTTGGTTGGTCTGGGAACGCCTCGGAATCTTCCCAGAAGAGCTGGAAGTGGTGGCTGTGGAAAGAGATGTCTGGACCTCCCTGCTCAAGCTGCTGACCCCACGACCCGACTTCGGAACAAGCAGAAGATGATGGATGGATGGATGGACTTTTTACAGAAAGGTGCCTTTTCTCTTGTAGTGAACACAGAACAAGAGGAACAAAAAAAAAAAAAAAAAAAAGAAAAGAGGAACGCACATTGTCAAATGAACTCTTAATGATGGATGGAAATCTTTGTTCTTTATTATGCTGTTCCAAAATAAAACAAGCCAACACATGATGTTTAAAACACCTAAACAAATAAATTGGCATTTCAGTTCAGAAACAAAGCAGTTGATGGAAAAACTTAAAGTGCCTGGGCAGCTTTAGATTTTTAATTGCACTTCATTCTTGTAGCTACAATGAGACATTTAATGGTCACAGAGATATAAGAATATTTAAACATGACTTTTAAAACTGTGGAAGGTATTAATATATATCAAACTTTAATTAAATCAAAGTTATTTTTTATTACTTTACATGAGGTTCTGGTTCTTGTCAGTGGATTACCAGAGAACTATACTATGAAGTGAGGTCAACAGTTTAGCAGCTATATTGAGCTGAAAGTCAACATTTTCACTGTCACCAAGGAGGATTTATTTGAGCCTGGTTATATCACCATGGTAACATATGCTGAACTCATCACCTGCTGCTCCAGAGTAGGCAATGAGTTCACTTTCAGTACAAACTGTCAGTAAAAAGCTCTGTCTGTCACTGATTCTTTTTTTAATGAGATTCCAAATAGAAAAATCAGACTGACACAATATTTATAGATCCTATCTGGATTACCAGCTGCTTTAAGATTTCAAATAAGCACATTGTGAAATAACACACAATTAAAAGTTCCACTGTCATTTTAATTGTCAGTCAGTACTCCATATTTAGTAGTTATTAGTGAATAATGAGTTGATGTCTTAGTCTTCTGAGGCAAAGATCAGATTTGAACGTTTTCTTTCTCAAATCAAATATGATTTTAGGTGTCAGCTGTTAACAGTGAGCCAAATGTAATTTTATGAGCACGTTCAAAATACCAGGACAAAATGCTGCACGTTTGATTTTAATGTTACTTTATGATTTTCATTTGACATCTGTGTGTTGACATATTGTGAGTGCCACAGCACTTATTAGACACTGACAGGCAAGTAGCAACAATCCAAAGTGACAGTTTTAGCAACTAGATCTTGATGGAGGACTGTGTCTTTACAATATTTTTTGTTAGTATTTATATCATGAATACAATATATATATATATATATATATATATATATATATATATATATATATGTATATATATATACATTTTAATTATAAATGATTATTTTGAATCAACTTTGCACCTGTTTTGCAACCATCTACCTCTTTAGTAGACACATTTGACATCATCTCAGTAGTGACATACTTTGGGTCAAGGCTATTTTAGGGTTTGTAGATGCAATGATATATATATATATATATATATATATATATATATATATATATATAATTTTAGTTATATTATGATATAACAATAATTAAATACTTATGGGCATGTTAAAATTATGGGTGTAAATGATATATTGACCTATTAGATATTTTATCTGATAATTCCAGGAAGAAAGACAAACTCGAAGAACATAATAACTAAATAAAACTTATAATGAAGCATAGTCAAAACTTGTCATTATACATCAGAGCTTTCCAGCAGATCTCATTTACTGTACTTAAACTGACACTAGTTCCTAACAAGTCATCCTCAAACAAGGTTGACATGGATTTTTTTATACTACTTTATTTAATGTACTAGAAATTCATTTGTCATATAACGCCATCGTCCCCTAAAAGTCTCTACTTGGAAATGAACTTTTATGACAAATATGTCTCTATATTCAATTATTGGAGCACAATGATGAGAGTGATTACTAGTTGCAGAAAGGAAAATGAGTGGTTGGTCAAAGCTGTTATAAGACTTATACACACCTACTCAAAATGGATGTCTTTTATACCCTATCCATTTTTTTTTTTTTTTTTTCTGTATTTTAGCTACAGCTGAACTGTGCCTTTGGCTGTAAATGGATCCAGAGAAGCTGCATTTATCTTTATTCACAAATCATGTTCGCTCAAAATAATATCCTACCTTGTCGCCCTTATGGCTCTCCCTTCTCACTGCATTTAACTTGTCTCAAACTCTAAAACACTGCAAGTATAAACCCTCCAAACTTTTTTCAATAAAAAAAAAAAAAAAACTTTTCCACATTCACTCTGATTAAAGTTTTTATTTATTTTATTTTTTTTATCCTTGTCTCCACAATGAATCCAATTCCACTATTTTGTAATTCTCAAGAGAGGATGCTAAATTACTTATTATTCAGGCCCCTTTGACATAACTGCAATCACTGCACACACAATACATATATAAGTACCTTCAACCACACAAAAAGTTACACGTCCAAATGTGCACGCACACACTCAAACAAATATGCATTGACAAACGCATACACACTTCCATCTACACTTCTAATCTGCTAGTAATGAGGTCAGTGCTCTCATTAGAGCTGAGAAAAAAGAGGGAGAATTTGAAAGAGAGAAGAAGGAGGGATGAGAGGAGGGGAGGGCAACAAAGAAAATCCCATGTCATGTTTTCCCACTGGAGGTCATGGTATTTGTGTGTATGATTAGCTGATCATCTCATCTGCAAGACACACTCCTCTTTGTGCAACAACCACATTTTTTTTCATGTACTTTGTGTGCTTTTGTTTCTGTGTGATGGAAAGTATGTAAGAATTTTCAAAATGAGCTTGAGGATTACAATACGTGTGTTCTGGAATACTACATTCCTTTCTTTTACAATAATATTATGATTAGTTTAAGAGTTAGCTGACCCGATCCAGCACTGGTGTGATGAGCAGGTATTTTCCCCAGAGAAATTGTTGATCCACATCCCAGGTCTCGCTATCAGAGTAGAACCTAAAAACAAAGAAAACAAAAAAACAAAAACAAAGGACATCACGTATCGATGTACACTGACCTAGTCATATTCAGATTTTCTGTTTCTAATGCTGAGCATGATTATTGTAACTGCCATAGAAAATTTTATGGGTCATGTTTATATGGCTTGTAGTTTTACACGCCACCTGTAGATGGCGATGTATTCAGGTGTGTGAAAGGTAACCAGAAGAAGTCAGTCGGTAGCAGCTGTGTGAAATTAGCATCACGTAAGCACGGTTAAAGAAAACGGAAGAAGCTGAAACGGAAGAAACAAACCTAATTATTTTTGGTACCACGTACCCAACGAGGTATGTTTTGTTTTATTTCTGTATTTTGTTTTCCATCAAGTGTACAAGCATTTAATATTGAGATTTGTTGTTTATTTTTCTTTAAGAGTTAATTGTTGTTCTGTTTTATGCGTCTTCTTTAGTTTTCACATGTCGAATTTTAATAAATTCACCAGTTTGAGGAAACCACTTGTGTCTGGGTGTGCTTGAAAGGAATTATAATTGAGTTACTTATATTAAAACCTAGTGCTAATTTAAAAACTTTTTTAGATACAAAATTAAGAGTAAGTTCATGATTTTTGTCATATACTTAGTATTTAGTATTATACTAAATCTTAATGAAAGTTATTACAAGTGTTGCATTTGTGAGAACTTTCAAATGTCAAACTCTTTGCTGTTCTAGCAAGAGCATCACTTTAGACTTGAGATTCTGGAACACGATAGGATTCTTCACGATCTGCCCTGGTGATTTTTATACCAAACACAGGAAATGGCTGATTTCCTTACTGTAAATGTCTTAGACTGCATCATCTTAACAAAAAAATAAATAAATAAATAAACTCATTTACTTTAGTTCTTTGCAAAAGACTTCTCATTGATTGGCTCAAAAATGTCACATCTGTGTAGGTGCATTGAACAATGTACATTATCATGTTAAAAATGATTAGTTTAGATTTTTAGAAGTGGGGTCTTGTGGCGATATTATGAAACAAAAACCCCTTAAGAGTTGTAGCAAGGCTTAAACTAATATGGATTGCTGCCATTCTAAAACAACTCCAATCTCTCAAGATATTTTGGTGGTTCAGGTGAACCCTGGTTTACAGACTTACATTATTGTCAATTAAAAAAGTTCAAACCTTGTGGGGGAAAAAAAAAAAGTCCATGTTCAGTAATCCAGATGTACAATCCAACAATTTTCAGTGAGGTCATCTGGACAGTTTCTTTTTTTTTTTGTTTGCTGCAACGTTTCACCTTCCATCCAGAAGGCTTCATCAGTCAAGGAAACACACAACACAAAACTGATTCTTCCTCCAAACAGCCTACTCCAAAGTGGAACAAACCAGTTATGTTGGTGCTAAGATAGTGTCTTTGGCATGCTCCCTCCTCTGGTGCCGGCCCTGTTCCTGGTTGAAAGTTTGACACGACTGTCGACGATGAAGAGGGCCAGCACCGGAGGGCGTGCCATCTTAGCACCAACATAACTAACTGGTTTGTTCCACTTTGGAGTAAGCTGTTGGGGGAATAATCAGTTTTGTGTTGTGCATTTCCTTGACTGATGAAGCCTTCTGGATGAAAGGTGAAACGTTGCAGCAAAAAAAAAGCAACTGTCCAGATGACCTGACTGAAAATTGGTGGGTTGGCTTGGAAATAATAGTTTCTTAGCAGCATGATTTAAAGTCCTGCTTGATTTATTTTTTGTTTTATCTTAGTAAAAATATATAAAAACTAATAGTTTATACAATATTAACATTGTAGCTGCTTTTAATCATGTGCATGTTCTAAAATAGGTTTTACTGTGCAGTGATTTACCTTAAGGGACATAATATTCAGGAATTCCTAAATTTCAAAAAGAAGTCTGTGTAGATCAAACTTATTTTGTGTAACAGAAAACATTTTTTAAAAAGCAGTGACGAGTTGGCAAATTTTTAATCGCATTCCATTTCATTTTGCAAGAAAAATACAAAACAAAACTTGACTTTAAAAAATATTGTTGGTGAGCAAATATGAGCTAAATCATATTTAGTGATTCAGTTGGGCATGTTACTGCTCTTAAAAATCCATGTTTCAATTGTATTTAAAATGGTGTTTTTTAACGAGGAAAGAATATTTGTACATTCAACATATTTTTACAACAATTACGTCATGTTGTTTATTTGTCATATGGTCAACAATGCAATGAAATGTTCAAATTGAGAAGAACCGATCCGACTTGCTAAAAACAAACAAACAAACAAACAAAACAAGAAATACTAAAGCATGCAATAAGTGTACAAAGTAAAGTACCAAAAAGTGAAAAAAATAACTAATATTTATAAGGTCTAAAAGAAATATAGTAAACAACAACATGGTATAATATAACAGTGCAAATAAGATGAATTTGTATAAATGAGTATTTCACAGGTAGTAATATAAGCTTAAATGCACATGAAATATATTGTACATGATTAATATAAACTACACAGGTTGTGTGACACGTTACTGCACAGGTAGTGTGTGACATTATCATGTATGTTACTACCTTGCCATCATAATTCAATTAATGTTAAAGACACATAGTGGCTGTATCATGGCTTAATAATAGAAGTACACTAATTTTTTTTTTAATAAAAGAAAAAATGAACAAAAACAATATAGTCCCTATGACAGTGAGGTGAGGATTTATTTGAACATATTAAATGACTTACTCATGCAAAACAGGCCGTACAACAGTCTCCCCGGTGGTGTGGGCTTTGTAGAAAAGCGTGTAGAGGTACGGCAGGAGAGTGTATCGGATCGTAAGGTAATGTTTGGAGCTCTTTAGCAGGACTGAATCAGCGCCGTATGCTGCTGGATCTTGAGGCTGAAGACAAAATAAAAGGGTTGGGGTTGATGAGTAAGGAAGGTTAGCAAAAAGAAAACAAAGATTTGTCCTTATTGGATGACAAATTAGAAATAGATGTGAGCAGAGAAGAAACAACTTGTTGGAATAAGGTATGGGGAGATTGGATGGGGAACTGGCTTAAAATCAAAGACAGGGAAACATTTTTTTTTTTTGGGTGGGGGGGGGTGTTTAAAAATATTACAAATGTGTTTAGGATGAATAAGTGGATGCTGGACTTATTCACATAAACTTTACAAATGTCTAATGTCAAAGCAGAAGAACCAGAGGTATGATTTAAATTTCATTACACAGGCAAGTGAGAGGGTGATTAGCTGCTAAAAGGCTGACTTTGCTCACCTAGCTAATCATTTATGTCCCCCCCACCACCTCCATGAAGCTGATGAGAACTTGTGTGATGGCGAGTGTTTGGTTTGGCTGCGTGGGCACTTGATGAGTGCAATGATTAGGTCAAAGCAAAGGTCACACATTAGCTGTCTTGTTTAGAGCAAATTGTACATAAAAATTCACAATCATCTTTTGCCTGTCCTTCAGCAACTTCTAACACTGCCTTCTTTCATAAACACAAATAAGGTTCACTTTGTCACCCCCCACCCTCGCCCAGCTCCCACCTCAACTCTACCTCTGCAGCAATGATGAGCATGAAAATGTCACTTGAAGACTCTGGTAGTAGCATCAGTTTTCTCAACATTCGGTGCTTCAGAATGCTGTTTTCTCCCGAGTTATTTGTGTCATGCACAAAAATAGTTCGGCTTCAGTATAAAAATTGATTCAGGCTCAGCAGGCACTTTTCCCAACCCTCTCAGTGGCATAAAACCACAGATTTGACATGTGACATTTATATTGAGCTTGTTAACAAAAAACAAAAAAACATCACAAGTTGGTTATGAGACATATTATACCCAGTCATTCAGCAGAGATAAAATTGTGGTGTCACTGAAAATCAGATCAGCTTTTGTGTGTGTGAATGTTTTTTTTATTTATTTTTTTGACGGGTTGACTCCAATATATATATATATTTTTTTTCCCTTCACATTTTGCTTCACAGCAGTAACTAGGTATGGCAAGGGTGCTTTGGATTACTTTGCTGTGAGGCTGCATGCATAGAAAATAAAATTCAACTTTATTTTTTTTTACTCGATTATTTTCAGAATGTGACTTAAAAAAAAATAAAATAAAGAAGGATCCAAGTTACAAACAATTATTAAATTAAAAACATAAAAGCTAATAAATCAAAAACAATAATATTTTTTCTTCCGTTCAGCTAAAATTTTAGAGAAACCAAACCGTCACATAAGTTGTTTTTTTTTTTTCTCCTGTTAATAGGTCAAAATCAGAAAAAAAAAAAGTCTTAATATTAATATACTATATTAATATTTGACACCCAGCAACTTGGTTTAATCTTCTTCTTCTTCTTTTGGCTTTTCCCTCTTCAGGGGTCGCCACAGTGAGTCATCCTCCTCCATCTCACTCTGTCCTCTGCATCCTCTGTCCTCACTCCAACTACCTCCATGTCTTCTCTAACTGCATCCATATATCTCCTCTTTGACTTCTTCTAGGCAGCTGCATTTCTAACATCCTTCTACCAATATACCCACTGTCCCTTCTCTCGACATGTCCAAACCATCTCAGTCTGGTCTCTCTAACTTTATCTCCCAGTTTTTCAATCTGTGTTGTACCTCTGATGATCTCAATCCTAATCTTATCCAGCCTTGTCACTTCTAAGGAGAACCTCAACATCTTCAATTCTGCCACTTCCAGTTCTGTCTCCTGTCTTTTTGTCAATGCCACGGACTTCAGACCATAGCTGGTCTCAGCACTGTCTTCAAAGATTTTCATTTGGCCTTTGCTGACATCCTTTTGTCACAAATCACTCATGAAACTTTTCTCCATCCACTCCATCCTGCCTGGACTTTCTTTTTCACCTTTTTATCATACTCCTCATTTTCCTGGACAGTAGACCCCAAATACTTGAAGTCCTGCACCTTTGTGACCTCTGCTCCTTGTAGCCTCACTGTTCCACTGGCCTCCCTCTCATTCACAAACATGTACTCTGTCTTACTATGGCTAACTTTCATTCCTCATCTTTCAAGTTCATACATCCACCTCTCCCAAGTTCTCTTCCACCTGTTGTTCTCACCACAGAGCTCAATGTCATCTGCAAACAACATTTCCCATGGGGATTTCTGCCTGACCTCATCTGCTAGTCGGTTCATTACCAGAGCAAACAAGAAGGGGCTCAGAGTCGATCCTTGATACAATCCCACCTCCACTTTGAAGCTATCTGTCACTCCTACAGCACATCTCACCACTGTCCTGCTGTCTTCATACATATCATGTACCTGTCTAGCATACTTCTCTGCCACTCCAGATTTCCTCATGCAATATCACACATCCTCCCTCAGCACTCTGTCATATGCTTTTTCTAAATCCACAAAGACACAATGGAGCTCTTTCCGACTCCATTTGTACTTCTCCATCAGCATTCTCAAAGCAAAGATGGTGTCTGTGGTGCTCTTTCTTGGGATGAAACCATACTGCAGCTCACATAGTCATGTCTGGTCTAAGTCTAGCTTCCACAACTCTCTTCCAAGTCTTCATTATGTGACTCATCAACTTGATTTCTCTGTAGTGGCTACAACTCTGTACATCACCCTTGTTCTTAAAAATGGGCACCAGCACACTTCTTCTCCATTCCTCAGGCATTTTCTCACCCTCAAATATGCCATTGAATATTTGAGTCAAAAACCTCACTGCCTTCTCTCCAAGACATTTCCAAACGTCAACTGGTCATCTGGTCCTACTGCCTTCCCCTTCTTCATTCTTTTGAGAGCTTTCTTGACTTCACCCTCACTAATCTTTCCCACTTCCTGGTCCACAGTTTCTATGTCCTCTACTCTTCTTTTTCTTTCATTCTCTTCATTCATTAGCTCCTCAAAGTACTCCTTCCATCTTCCTGTCACACCATCCTCACTTGTTAGAACATTAGCATTCCTATATATAATGAGCCTAACCTGCTGCACATCCTTTCCAGCCTTATCATTCTGTCTTGTCAATTGGTACAAGTCCTTCTCGCTGTCTTTAGTGTCCAGCCTCCCATACAACTCATCATACGCCATCTGCTTTGCCTTAACTGCCTCCCTCTTTGATATATGTCTCATCTCCTTATATTCCTGTCTCCTCTCTTCAGTCCTCTCACTGTCATGTTTCTTCTTGGCTAACCTCTTTCTTTGAATAGCTTCCTGCACTTCATTATTTATCCACCAGGTTTTTTTATCATCCATTCTCTTTCCAGATGACACACCAAGTACCTTCCTACCTGTCTCTCTAATTACTTTATGCTGTAGTAGCCGAGTCATTTGGAAGCTCTTTCTTACTACCCATAGCCTTTAACAGCTCCTCTCTGAATTTCTTACAACGTTATTCCTTCTTCAGCTTCCAACATTTGATCTTCTTCTCTGATTTTACTATTTTTCTCTTCTTCACAAAACAGTAATTCGACACACAACCATCCATTGCTGTCTGGCCACACTCTCCCCTGCCACAACCTTACAGTCTCCAATCTCCCTCAGGTTTCCTCTTCTGCACAGGATGTAGTCTACATGTGTACTCCTTTCTCCACTCTTATAGGTCACTCTATGTTCATCCCTCTTTTGGAAATACTACAGCCATTTCTACTCTTGGCAAAATCCAGCACAATCTGTCCGTCCCGGTTTCTTTCCTTGACACCAAACCTACCCATCACTTCCTCATCCCATCTGTTGCCTTCACCAACATGTCCATTCAGGTCTGCTCCGATCACCACACTTTCCTCCCTGGGAATACTCTCTATCACTTCATCCAGATATTTCCAAAATGTATCTTTCTCATCCTCATCACATCCAACCTGTGGAGTATAACCACTTACTATGTTTAGCATCAGACCTTCTACTTCTATCTTCAGGCACATCACCCTATCTGACACTCGTTTCACCTCTACTACATTATTTGTCAACTCATCCTTCAGGACCACCCCTCCTCCATTTATCTTTCTATCCACACCATGGTAAATCAGTTTGAACCCTGCTTCAATGCTGTGAGCCTTGCTGCCCTTCCACTTGGTCTCTTGGAGACATAAGACATAAACCTTCCTTCTCTGCATCATGTCAGCAAGCTCTCGACCTTTGTCTGTCATTATCCCCACATTTAGAGTTGCAAACCTCAGTCCTACCTTCTTGACATTTCTCTTCTCCATCTGTCTCCTGACACATTTCCCTGTGGTGTTTGACTAATCAACTAACCTTTGACCCAGCAACTTTGTTTACCAGACTATACATGTATTTCTCCTCCTTTGCAATTACTCACATTTTTGTTTTTGGTTAAGCAGAGCAATATTATTGTGAAGTACAAAAGTGAATACAACCACAACTATTTATTGTTTTAAGATAAGTCCTAAAATTAACTATTAGAAACATCAAGCCAACATATTCTAATCTAATCACTAGGGAGCACAAGCCAGTGTATTTTTTTCTGTGGGTCCCAAACCTGGGTAAATGGTGAGTTGTGTCAGGAAGGGCATCTGACGTAAACCCTTTTGCCAAAACTAACATAAGCAACATCATACTGGATCGATCAAGGCCTAGGTTAACAACGACCACCACCGGGGTGCTGTTGACAAACAGGGAGCCGACGGAAATTGTGCTATTGTTAATCGAAGACCTCAAGGATGGAAATGTGTCAGGCACTTTGGTTTAGCTTTGGTTATTTTAAAGAGTTTAGAATTTTTTCCAAGGCAGTTTCACAACCATTCAATCTTCCAAATGTGTAACTTCAACAATTCACATGTCAATTTCCATTTAAAACAAGTCACAAGTGACACCAACTCAACAAGCCAAAGGATGACCAGAAAGTCAGTGGTTCAAGTGACTTCAGCTACCATATTAGTATGATTGGCCCAGCAACAACTCATAGACCTGGAACTCCCAACCCCATTATTAGCACTGGGAAAACTTATTTTAGATGAGAGATAAAACTTATTTAAGAGACAAACAAATTGTCTACTTGCCCTAATTTAAAACATTAGAATGGACATTTGCTACATGACAGAAAATCCATGCCTGTGCATTAAGTTTGTTGCTTTTTTGCTTAGTAGTGGTGGTGATAGATAGCATATTTTCCCTCCCCACCAATTCTCTCAGGCTAGGAGATTAGTATACATTGTGGTTGGTGGAAGTGCAATCAAAAGAGGAGAGGTGTCGCATGCTTGCAGAGCTCTCAGTTTGTCTGGTCGAACTGGATTTCTAATTATGTACAGATGTTCACGTGAATAAGAGCATTTAATTTTTGGCACATGGGATGCCAACAATATATTATACTTGGGCTTTTGTAAGACTATTTAATTCATATTTAGACTATACAGATTGATCCAAGTTTATTTATTTGAGTCACAAGTATTCAATAGCAGCATACCATTCAATCACTGCTTCATCTATCAGTGCAGTGAAAATGTCCTCATTAATTTTCTTTTGTATAATTTAGAACTACATCTTAAAAGAAATGTGTCAGGTGGACACCGGTTCCATCATTCATGAAAAAAAAAATCCCTCTTTGCTGACGAACACATCCAGCCAGGCTCACAGCTGGAGCTGAGGCAGTACAGGTAGAGAGATAATTCTTCTCAGTCCATCTGTTGCGAGTGGGGGCCAGCTCAACTGAATCTGTTTTGATTTTTTTATTTTATTTTTTTTTTACATCCCGGTTGTGCATTCAACATATGGCACATCAAATTATGCTAATATGACATATTTTTTGCATTACGATTAACTTTATTTAACTGTACAATCTTTAAATGTTGCTTCGGTACAACATTTTAATTCAGGTTCATACATACTCCAGTCCCCAGAGCCGTTAGGATTTTCAACAATTCACAATCATAGTTTTAAACCAAAAAGCAGAGGTCCCACTGCTCCCATTAAATAAAGCAATTGTACCAGTGCTGGCATGATGACAACCTCTATGGATAAAGAAAGTAGTTTATATTTTTAAGCGCTCTGAGTTTATAGCACCTCTACAATGTTATAAAATAAGGGGTATACCCTACAGCACTTCAGACCAAACAGGGGCTCTATGATCCATAAATCTAAAAGTGACAGTCTAATATAAGATCCGTGGGACAAAATGCCTTTACAGTACCTTGTAGCCCTGAGCGTTGTGGTTCCGACTGAAGGGATAGAAGGCGCCCACCTGCATCCAGCGACGACACAGCTCTTCATCTGAGTCGTCAAAGAAGCCGCAGATGTCAGCCCCGATCTGAAACACATACAAAGATGACAGGCTGACATTTCGCTGTATACATCTGCCGATCTTTTTATTGTTGTTGTCCTGGAAACATTGAGGCTGGTGTGTCAACTGACAAACTCAAAGCTATAAACTCCAATGAATGCAACAGAGTCCCAGTTTGTTATTAAAATGAAATATCTTCAGGTTATAAACGTCAGTCCAAGTAACTTTGACGAGACAATGACGGTCTGAACCTAAAGGATCTCTTGGAGTATTGAGAAGTGTCACCAGTATGATAATTGGCCATGACTGCACTCGAAAAACAGGTTGCATTTAGCCTAGTTGTACTAATAGAGAGTGAATGTGAAAAATGTATAATAATTATGTACATTAATTTCACAATGAAGACCCCCCCCACACACACACACACACACACACAAATCTCCAGTCTATGGCCAGCTGACATAAACTGAGTGTGTTTTAATGTCTACAAATGGACACGTTTTACAGCAGCCTAAATGAGCAAGAAAGCCAACAAATCTCATTCCTTCCTCTCGTTCTCTGTTTGTGACTGTGTGTGTCTGTGTTTGTGTGCGATTCCGAGGAGCTTAAAGTCTGCTTGACAAAGTCCTACCAGGAGTAGTTGGCATCTGTAAGGCCCCCCTGGTGTGCACAGCTGGATAAGTGTGTGTGTGGTTTGTGTGTGCAGCTGACTTCCTGTTGTTTTCTTACTGCTGTTTGCACTCTGTGCAGTGAAGGAAAAACATACACATGGGTGGTAACAGGCAGTGAATTTCTTTCTGAATGTGATGGCATTCTAACAAAGTAGTATTTTTCCAGGTGTTTTGATGTGGTTTTTTTTTTTTTCAACACACCTTTCTTGGCTGCTTCTCTTTCTAAATGTTCAAATAAGAATACTGCATTCAAAATTAAGACAACTAATAAAATGGCACAGATAACAGAGTGAACAACTATAT